AATGTGTTGTGTGTGTCTTTTTCCAGCTATTTGTAACAAATGTACAGAGAACATACAAACTGAATAAAATATACACACAAGCCAGCTTTTAATTTAGTTAATTTAGTTTAAAGGAAACCATAGGTTAATTTTTTTCATTATTGGAAATTATTTATAACAGATCTTGGTTAACCTCCTCAGTTCAGCCATGGCCTGCTTTAGTTTCCTTTAAGACAAACTTTCTACTGATTGGTTTAACGTCACAATGACAAGATTTGAACAGTAGTTAGGAGCAGCAGCTGTGCTCGTAGTCAAACTTCTTTTACTTTATGTGGTCTTTATTAGCCATCCAGCTTATGCAAAGTTTGTTGTGGTCATGTGGTCATGTCATGTGTCGAGATCGTTGCTATGGTTTCCAAGGAAAAAAAACATGGTTTTGACATTCACGGCTCATAAGACTGTCATGTCTTCTGTAGTATTCTTATTACAGTTTTTCTCCATTGGTTTGGCTCATTTCTTGAAACAGAAATTACATTCTCAAAACTCTAAGATCGTTTGGCAAAACACTCTTACAGTTTAGCACAACACTATAGCTCACTTGCAAAAGCTCATATCTCTTCCAAAACTGTTCACGCAGGCTTCAATCTAAATCCCTTTCTCATTTAGGGGTACCCTTGCGCAAGTTCAAACCGATCGATTGATGTTTTGTCTTGCTTTCTTCACGGGTGATAATTCTCTGAACCAGTGGGCCTGTTAGCGCAGACCCAACAGTCTACTTTTAAAGCATATAAACTGTCCTTTTAATTAATATCTATGTCTTTTAAACATGTTTTCAACACTTAAAACCAGCTTCTACAGTGACATTAGTGTAACAAAGCAGTCATGATTATTATAACTTGTTTACTGCAAAGTATTTCCTCTACAAAAGCACATTATTTTCTACCCACCATATCAGCTTTCATTTTTCTGCTTAATTGCAATAATATATGTTGCAGTGAAATTATGACATGCAAATAGTAATGCTAATTTAAAAAAGGAAAGTAGTGTTTAAAAGAGGTAAAGGAGGTGCTCAATTTTTTTACTTGTCATATGTTTAGTGTGCCTTCCTAGTGTATGTAGTTTCTGGTTATCTGGTAAGTTATCATTCTCTGATTTACAGTTTTTCTCCATTGGTTTGGCTCATTTCTTGAAACAGAAATTACATTCTCAAAACTCTAAGATCATTTGGCAAAACACTCTTACAG